TTACTAGTCACAGGTTTATCATTTTAGATGCACTTTTTTGACATGCATTTGACCGAGCAAATTTTACTTCAATTAATAATAACTCATAGCAAACCTGCCAAATGGCTGTTACCAGGCATGATTTCATTAGATCTAATAAAACATGCTGTGTAATTATTATGGCAGTCTTCCTACTTGTCACTTTGGAGACTTCAACTGTTGCTCATTGTAAGAGATCCATTAGGTTTAATATGAGAAGAAGCAAGAAAGTGAACTAAAACACAATACTTTCCAACAGATATTTGACTCCATTGGTTGTAACGTGCTTTGTGGTGTTGTGAAAAGCATCAAACAAACGGGAGTCTTTCTTCCTTTTCACAATTCCCAAAAATGATTGGCAGCAAATGTATTATCGTTGGAGTGCAGTTGTTCCATCTCTGTGAGATCACAACAAAATGAAAAGTCAACCTAGTAACATCAGATTGTGGAGTTTTGGGATATTGGCCAGGACATGTAGCAAACACTGTACTCTTCTTCCACTAGCACCATAGAATTGTTTATGTAACTTCAACCAACAGACAAGCTGAAGAGTCACCGTACTCAAAATGTTAACTCTGCTTTCTTTCCACAGCTGCTGCCAAACCTGCTGAGTTTCTCCAGCAATTTCTGTTTTTTGTTTCAGATAAGCTAAGATTCTACGTCTGCCAACATTGTCTCCCTCTGCACTGCAATATCAGCCTAGCAGCTGAAAGAGAGTGGAACTTAAACAACCTTCCAACTCAACGAGGAGAACTGCCACTTTATGAATTGTATTTAGTTAAGCTGCACTTTTATGGCAGCCATCCATAATTCACACTACGAACCCGGTACATATCCCTCTCGAATACGTAGTTGATAGAACTCTTTAAATGTGTTTCATATAGTCCCTGAGGGTTTGTGTAATACCCTGATCTATGTCAATGCCATAGGACAGTTGTTGGGTTCCAGAGCAGATTGTTGTCTGTATCTGTAAGGCTCAATTGCCCTTTTACAGCTGTCTCTGTTTACATTGAGCTTAACGCTGTTCAGCTATTTGTTGGTAATATCCTGCGTAAAGCTTGGAATTCAAATTCTCTGTTTTTTTTATTTTAAGTACAGATTGCCATTTTCAATGGATAAAATTTGCAAGTTGGCATCTGGTCCATTAGTACAAGCTCTCCAATCACTAGAATATCATTTGAGATTCCAGAATGTTCCTTTATTTAGCACAAATCACCTTCTGACATGGTCTGTCTGCTCTTCCTGACATTTTGTATGCTCCAGACTCTCGACTGCATTTCCTCTATCTCAAATTCATTCTTTGCATGCTATGTGGCTGCAACACATTGACTTCCGTGGTACTGTAGCTCCTCTGACACAGGCAGAGAGACTCCACATGCTTTCAATCAGGTCACTGAAAAATCTCTAACTTCCAATGCCACTTGTATCCAGCAGGTGCTCCCCTAATGCATATTATGCTAAAATTTCAAAATGTTTCATATCAGCTGGAATGATCCATCACCCAGTTTCTCCATAGGGGTGAGATTAGCAATAAATGATAACATCTTGCAACAAGTCCTGGGAATTTCTTTGCTTGTTAAAATAACTTGTGCAATTTATGTGGGTGTTGGGTTATCCAGAAGAAGGAGCTGTGGTATTAAAACCCAAACATATCCAAGAGAATAAAGGAACAACCACTTTACACAAAGGGTTATGAGAATGTGGATCACACTCCCTCACAAGGTCACAGAAGCAGAATCAAAAGTAATGTTTGAGATGATTTATTTATTTAGGAAATAAAAGCATTTTGGAAATTTGGAGAAGAGATAAACACCTTCACAACTATGAAAGGGAAGGTAAGGTGAACAATGTCAGCTTGTTTTCATTGGTCAGTGAGAGGGCAGTGAGAGAGAGCAGACTCAGGTGAATGACAAAAAGCATTAAAGGATATTCTGCAAATAAAAGTGACAAAAAAAACTTCACAGAATGGGTGGAATTATCTGGAACACATTTATTCTAAACTATGAATTATTTCTAAAGAAACAAGATAGTTGCTTCAAATATTTATCACAAGCTGTGGGAAATGGGTGGGTTTAGACTGGGTGGGATTTCTTTTTATTCACGCATGGGACATGGGAATCTCTGGCTGGCCATCATTTATTGCCTGTCGCTAGGTAGCGAGCTACCTTCTTGAACTGCTGCAGTCCACTTGCTGTAGGTATCACAGAATCATAGAATCCCCACAATGTGAAAAGAGCCCATTAAGTTCCAACACTCCGAACAGCATCCTACCCAGACCCAGCCCTCAACCCTAACCATTTACCATGGTTAATCCACCTAACCTGCACATCTTTGGATTGTGGGAGGAAACCAGAGCACCCGAAGGAAACCCACACAGACACGAGAGAACATGCAAACTCTACAGTCATCTGAAGCTAGTATCGAACCGAAGTTCCTGGCACCAAGGTAACACTGCTAAACACTGAGCCACTGTACCATCCTTTGGTAGTCACACAATGTCATCAGGGAGGGAATTCCAGCATTTTGACCCAGTGACAGTGAAGGATTGGTGATATATTTCCAAGTCAGGAGTGGCTTGTAGGGAAATTTGCCGGCGGTTATGTTCCCATGTATTTGCTGCCCTTGTATTCCGGATGGAAGTGGTTGTGAATTTGGATGATGCTGTCTGAGGATCTTTGGTGAATTTCTACAGTGCATCTTGCAGTACACACTGGTGCTACAGCAAACTTTGGAGGTGGAAGGAGTAGGTATAGTGCCAATCAAGTGGGCTGCTTTGTGCTGGATGGTGCCAAGTTTCTTGAGTGTTATTGGAGCTGCACCCATCCATTTAAGTGGCAGTATTCCATCACACTCCTGACTTATACCTTGTAGATGGTGGACAGGCATTAGGGTGTCCGGTAATGAGTTACTGCAGTGTTCGTAATGTTGCCCTAATCTTAAAGTCACTGTGTTTATATGGTGAGTCCAGTTGAGTTTCTGATCCATGGTAACCTCCAAGATGTCATTCAGTGATGTAACAAATGTCACTTTCCACTTGTCAGCCCGAGCCTGGATATTGTCCAGATCTTGTTGCATTTGAACATGGACTGCTTCAGTATCCAAAGAGTTGTGAATGGTGCTGTATATTGTTATTGTCATCAGCAAACATCCCCACTTCTGACCTTATGATGGAAGGAAGATCATTGAGGAAGTACCTGAAGATGGTTGGGCCCAGGACATTACCCTGAGGAATTCTATAGAGATGTCCTGCAGCAGAGATGACTGACCTCCAACAACAACAACCATATTCCAATGTGCGAGGTCTGACTCCAACCAGCAGAGTTCGCCCCCCTGATACCCATGGTTTCCAGTTTTGCTATGGCTCTTTGCTACCACACTTGGTCAAAAGCAGCTTTGATGTCAAGGGCTGTCACTCTCACCCCACCTCTGGAATTGAGCTCTTTTGTCCATGTTTGAACCAAGGCTGTAATGAGGTCAGGAGCTGAGTGGCCCTGGCAGAACCCAAACTGGGCGTCACTGAGCAGGTTATTTCTGATCAGGTGCTGCTTGATAGCGCTATTGATGACACTTTCCATCACTTTACTGATGATCGAGAGTAGACAGATGGGGCTGCAATTGACTGGGTTGGATTTGTCCTGCTTTTTGTGCACAGGATGTATTTGGGCAACTTTCCTCACTTTTAGATAGATACCATTGTTGTAACTGTACTGAAAGAGCTTGGTTAGGGGAGTGGCAAGTTCTGGAGCACAAGTTTTCAGTACTATTGCCGGAATGTTGTCAGGGCCCAAAGCCTTTGCAGTATCCAGTGTCTCTATGATAACATGCGGAATGAATCAAATTGGCTGAAGATTGGAGGAGACCGAGGTGGATCATCACTCGGCACTTCTGGTTGAAGGTTGCCGCAAAAGCTTCAGCCTTACCTTTCGCACTGACGTGGTGGACTGTACCGTCATTGAGGACGGGGTTATTTGTGGAGTCTCCTCCTCCAGTGAGTTGTTTGATTATCCACCACCATTCATTAATAGATGCAGTAGGACTACAGAGCTTAGATCTGATCCATTGATTATGGGATTGCTTAGCTCTGCCTATCACTTGCTGCTTATGCTGTTTGGCATGCACATATTTCTGTTTGGTAGCTTCAGCAGGTTGACACCTCATTTTTGGGTATGCCTGGTGCTGCTCCTGGCATGTCCTCCTGTACTCTTCATTGAACCAGGGTTGATCCCCTGGCTTGATGGTAATGGTTGAGTGGGGGATATGCCGGGCCATGAGGTTACAGATTGTGCTGGAGTACAATTCTGCTGCTGTTGATGGCCCACAGCGCCTCATGGATGCCCAGTCTCGAATTGCTAGATCTATTCAAAGTCTGTCCCATTTAGCACGGTGATAGTGCCACACAATACAATGGAGATTATTCTCAATGTGAAGGTGAGATTTCGACTCCACAAGAATTATACCGTGGTCACTCTTACCAATATTGTCATGTTACTGGGTATGGGCAGTAAGTGAGAGACTGGGAAAAGACTGCAGGGAATATTAAGGTGTATGGGGAGTGAGTCAGAGTGTACGATTAGACAAAGTGAGATACTAAAGGATATGGTGAGTTTATGGAAGAGTGCAGAATTGGTCGTCATTCAATAACTCTTCATTGAATGTCTGTCTAATTTGATGGTTCCCATAACTGCATTCCCAAACCAGTGGTTCCAGGTTTCCCTGTGACAAAACCTGTGCCAGCTGAACTAATGGCCTCTGCAAATGTCCTGAAGCCTGCTTACCTGGAACCCAAAGGGATGAAAGGGAGATTTATTCATGTCATTATGCTTGGGGACTCAATAACTCAACACCAGGTGTGGTGCTGAGCTATGCTGACTTACATGCAGGCTCTGAACCTTGCTGAAGCTTGGCACCACTTGCAAAGTTTCATTTTCCTGTAAGGATTCTTCTGGATTGTTCCTTCACCCCCTCTCCACTATTATTCCTACCTTTGCGAATCTTACAGATCCAATCCAGTTGATTCTCACAGCGTACTGCTCGCCAAAGTGAGGAGGCAATGTCAATGACTCCACAGCGTCGGACGCTATCATCTTCGTAGACATCTCGTCCAAAGTTGTTGTAGGAATACTGCACAAGAAGACAATATGGTTGAGGTTACTTACAAACACTGCCCATTATTTTCCCAGCGCCAATTACTTCTATCCAAATTGCTGCCCCTAAAAGTTTCTTCACCATCAATATTAGATTAATTTGCTTTTAATTTTAATTTTAATTTGCTTAATTTTGCAAGCTTCAACAGTCTTGCTTTTTCATAAACTGGGGTTTAACATTTGCAATTCTTCAGTCCCCTGAAAGATTGTGGCCAGATTTTCCAACTTTCCCCTTTCCTAAATGAAAAAGCACCAGAAAGCATCTCATTCTGTAGTTCCCCCTCCCAACTCAATTATTTTAATGCTCTCTTTGATGCTGTTCCTTCATCTACCTTTCCATACACTCCACCTTATACAAAGTGCAGCTGCATTAAGTCCCATCCTTGCAAAACAGCATTAAATTTTAAATAACATATTCTCTAATTCCTCCATGTTTTCACTCTGCCCTACCTCTGCAATGTCCTTCGGAACACCTTCTGTTCTTGAACCCATTTTCCTGCCTTATATTTCATGCACCATTGTGACAGTTTTCACCTGTTTGTGTGTAACAGGGAAAATAGCGTTCCGAAGAATGGTCACTGGACTGAAAACATTAACTCAGCTTTCTCTCAACAGTTGCTGCCAGACCTGCTGAGGTTCTCCAGCAATTTCTTTTCTTGTTGTAAATACACATGGAACAAACTGACACACCAAAGATGTTTAATTCTGTATGTGATATCTCAGGGGAAGGGGAGCTTTGTAAATGAGTGGAGTGTTATAGGGGTGAATGCAAGCTTATTCTGTCACATGCTGCAATGTACAAACCTGTCCCTGTTTTTCCCCTCAAGCAAGTCAGCCTGTGATTTGGTCATTCAGGCAGATACTCACTCCTGTTCCATCACTCCATGCCCAACTTTGTTCTGTCCCTGGGTTTCGTCGGTTCAATCCAAGCCAGAACCAATGATAATCATGATCCTCTGACTCTCTAGGAAGTAGAAACAGACAATGACCCATTTTCATCATAATTCCATAAATTTTCAGAAAACATTTTATTAAAAATAATTCAATATTTAATTGTTTGACAAGGCAGATTATTCCAATTACATAGGCAGGATAGAATCTCCTGCAGTAAAATCAAAGCCAGCTCTGCTCTGCCTGGGTGTGACTGCTTTCAAATAAAGTTGACCAAAAATTAGAGTCAACATACATGTTAATTACCTTAAGGGAGTGAGTCTGCTAACCTATTTCATCAAATAACCCATTGGGTATACAGGATGTCCCCGATAGGACAGTGTTCATGGGTGGCACAGTGGCTCAGTACTGCTTCACAGCACTAGAGACCCAGGTTTGATTCCAGCCTCAAGTGACTGTTTGTGTGGAGTTTTCTCATTCTCTGCACTCTGGTTTCCTCCTACAGTCCAAACGTGTGCAGGTTCAGTGGATTGGCCATGCTTAATTGCCCTTAGTTTCCACTGATGAGTGGGTTAGCCATGGGAAATGCAGGTTTATGGGGATAGGGTAGGGCCGTGGGACTGGGTGGGATGCTCTTCAGAGAGTTGGTGCAGACTTGATGGGCTGAATGGCCTGCTTCCGCACTGTAGGGAATCTGTGATTCTATGGGATTTGGAAATCATTGGCTCATTCTGACACACTATGGATCAACAGTCCACTGTACATCATCTCCATATTTATTTCCATTAAAATAAATATCAATAAAATAAGGAGGGAGGTAAAGAGGCTGAAATTCACCATGTCTTACATTGTGAAAGGCACTGTTTAAATATAAAGCTATCCAAAATGTTCAACAACTAAGAAAGAAATTTTCAAGCTCATTCACTGTTGGAATGTAGGAATTTCATGTGAAGTTATTTATGAGTGTTTGTAAAATATCTGCTGTTCCTAACTCTTGCCTGGGCAGCATTGCTTGAGATGATTATTAAATCTACATTGAAGCTAATGAAGAGATCCATTTACTTAGCTCTGCCAAGTGAGTCATCCTTCAGGGTAGGCTGCAAGCCAAAGCCCGCAGTCACATTCCCAGTAGAAAGGTCTGATATCTATCCCTGGGGAAATGCTAGAATCAATTAGTAACGAGATAGTAGCAGGACATTTAGAAAATTGCACTACAATAAGGCATTCAACATGGTTTTGTGAAAATGTAATTGTGCTAGAGTTCTGGAAGGATGTATCAAGCAGCATAGGTAAAAGGGAACCAATAGATGAAGCACATTTGAATTCCCAAAAGACATTTGATAAAGCTAGAAGGTTAGAACACAAAAAAGGAGGTCTAGTGCTAAGGTGATATCTTAACATGGATCGAGGACTAGCTAACAAACACAGAATTGAAATAACTTTTCAGGTTGGTAACCTGTTAGTGGAATGCCAAAGGATCAGTGCTGGGGCTTCAACTATTTACAATCTATAATAACAACTTGGATGTAAAGGACTGACTAGCTGTGTCATAGTCAAATTTGCTGATGATTTACAGTTGGTAGGAGAATAAGTTGAGGATAAAGAGACTCTTCAAAGGGAAACTGATAGAATAGGTGAGTGGACGAAAAAAGTTGGCAAATGGAAATGTGGGAAAATGTGAGGTTATTCATTTTAGCAGGAAGATAGGAAAACAAAACATTATTTAAATGGAAACCAAAAGAAATTATTTAAATAGATAGAGTGTGAAATGTAGCACACAGGCATCTGGGGGTTCTTGTATATGAATCACAAAAGGTCAGCATAGAGGCTAGCACTGCTGCATCACAGCGCCGGGGTCCCAGGTTCAATTCCAGCCTTTTGTGACTGTGTGTGGTGTTTGCTCCTGTTTCCTCCCACAGTCCAAGGATGTGCAAGTTAGGTGGATTGGCCATGGTAGAAAATTTCATGAAGGGTTATGGGATGGGGTGGGGGGAAGGGATGCCCTTCACGGGTCAGTGCACATTCAATGAGCCAAATGGCCTCTTTCTGCTCTGTAGGGATTTTATAATTCGATGATTTTTTTTTCCCCGATTCATTTGTGGGATGGGGGCATTGCTGGCTGCCCAGCATTTCTTGCTCATCTCTAGTTGCCCTTGAGAAGGTGGTGGTGAGCTGGCTTCTTGAAATGCTGCAGTCCTCCTGCTGTGGGTTGACCCACAATGTTATTAGGGAGGGAATTCCAGGATTTTGACCCAGCGACAGTGAAGGAACGGCGATATATTTCCAAGTCAGGGTGGTGACTGACTTGGAGGGGAACTTGGATGTGGTGGTGTTCCCATATATCTGATGCCCTTGTCCTTCTGGATGGAAGTGGTCGTGGGTTTAGAAGGTGCTGTCTGAGGATCTTTGGTGAATTTCTGCAGTGCATCTTGTAGGTAGTACATACCACTGCTGCTGAGCTTTGGTCATGGAGGGAGTGAATGCTTGTTATGTAGTGCTAATTAAGTAGCCTGCTTTGTCCTGGATGGTGTCAAGCTTCTTGAGTGTTGTTGGGGCTGCGCTCATCCAGGAAAGTGGAAGTATTCCATCACACTCCTGACTGGTGCCTTGTAGATGGCGGACAGGCTTTGAGGAGTCAGGAGGCGAGTTACTCGCCGCAGTATTCCCAGCTTCTGGCCTGCTCTTGTATCCACTGTGTTAATCTGGTGAGGCCAGTTGATTTTCTGGTCAATGATAACACCCAGGATGTTGACAGTGGGGGATTCAGTGATGGTAACTCCATTGAATTTCAAGGGACGGTGGTTAAATTGTCTCTTATTGGTGATGGTCATAGCCTGGCATTTGTCTGGTGAGAATGACACTTGCCACTTGTCAGCACAAGCCTGGATATTGTCCAGATCTTGTTGCATTTGAACATGGACTGCTTCAGTATCTGAGGAGTCACAAATGCTGCTGAATATTGTGCAATCATCAGCAAACATCCCCACTTCTGACCTTATGATGGAGGAAATGTCACTGATGAAGCACTTGAAGATGGTTGGACCTAGGACACTACCCTGAGGAACTTCTGCAGAGATGTCACGGAGCTGAGATGATTGACCTCCCACAACCACGACCATCTTCCTATGTGCCAGGTATGACTCCAACCACCGGAGAGTTTGCCCCCTGATACCCATTGATTCCAGTTTTGCCAGGGATTCCATTGGCATTAAATAATTTGGACAAATGGAATACTGCAGAAGTAAGTAGGATGTCTGGATAGAGGTGTAGGGGTCACTGATTCAGACCAAGCTAGAGTATTTTGTACAATTTTGGTCTCCTTACTTAAGGAAGGTCAAATTTACGCTGGAAAGCTGTTTGGAGAAGGTTCACAAAGCTGCTTCCTGGTATGAAGAGATGTGTCTTATGAAGAATTTTTGAGCAGTTTGGGCCTATGTGCCATGAAGTTTGGAAGAATGAGAAGTGACTGTACTGAAAGAAGATTCTGAATAGGCCTGTCATGGTAGATGCTGAATATTTTCCCTTGTGTTAATCTAGAATTGGGGAGCACAGTTTAAAGATACAGGCTCTCCATTTAACATGGAGAAAGGATATATTTTTCGAGGTTGTCAGTCTTTGGAATTCTCTTTCACACAGAGCAGTGGAAGCTGGGAAATTGAGTATATGCAAGACTGAGTTAAACAGGTTTTTGGTTGACAAGGGAGTCAAGGGTTAACAGGGACTGATAAGAAACTGTAGCTGCCAACTGGGTCACAATCAGATCAGCCATAATGTTAATGACGTCCTACTCCTGCTCCCATTTTTTGTAAGCTAAAAGGGATAAGGGGATCAGAGGGGGCATGGACAGGGATTGTCGGCTTTGATACAGCATATGAAAAGTACCGAGAGAGTTGAGAGTAAACAGGATAGAATTTTGGAGTCAGAAGAAATCTTCCAAATCTTTTTGTTGAAGGTGAGACACGCTGTAATCGAGGATGTGAGGGAGTGGGCTGTTTAAGTATGTACATTGTGGGCTTATTGGATAAAAAATCTAAAGGCTATTTCTGAAGACTAGATTCAATACTCCCTTGCATTTTTTTAAATTTTGGCATATGGATCTCTGAAGCCTGTGCATTGTACCCGCTTCTGAAACCAGAAGTCAATGTGTCAGAACTCAAATCAGTGTGTGCAGAACCTCAGGGGAACCTTGGAGCAGCTGAGGAGCCATGCAGTTTAGAGAGAACGTTGACCAGATTCCATCTCCTCAGTGTTTATTTAATGACAACTTCAAGGCAACATACTTGAAAGAGACAGAATCCAGGAACCAACAGCTGCACCACCCAGCCCAATGACTAACTTTCTAATCAGTGCTTGCTGTCTCACCCAAAGATCTCGTTAACCAGTTTCTCTGTAAACTTCTCCTCTTCAAAGTTGCTGATGCTGAGCAAATTAGCACCTTGCTCATAGCAGAACATGTGTGCCTGCACCCAGTTCTTCTTAGCATAGATGGTGTTGAAGTGAAACACCTGGTCAGGAAAAGGAGAAGAAATGAGACAAAGTGTGAACACGCCTGAATATAACCCAACTATTCAACATTCACAACTTCTGGACATCAGAAATCACACAGCAAACAGTTCTCTCAGGATACATCATAATTACAGCATTGAAACAGTCTATTGGCCCAACTGGTTAGGTTCACACTAGTCTCCTGTTATGATTCCTGTTGATATTATTCCTGGTCTAGTCAGATCCCAACGTGAGACAGCCTTGATAGATCAAAAGTTTTCTTTCTGTTTATCATGAAGGTTAGTCAGGGAACATATTCAATGTACTTTCAACAAAAGGATATAAAAATTTACTACAGACAAAATAAAAACGTGAACTATGTTATACTATACAAGAACTATTTGAAATGGGCCATGGTATAGTAAATTAGACAGGTTTGAGCTGATATAGTGAAAAATGTCATGCAGACAAAACCTCCATGAAATTTGATGAAACTGACAATTAGCCATAAGAGGCACCATTATTCGAGAAGGGAGGAAAGGAACCAGGAAATTATAGGCAGGACAGTCTAATCTCCGTTATGAGGAATGTATTGGAATCAATTCTGAGGGACAGAGTTAATTTGCATTTGAAGAGGCACGAGAAGATGATGGCCTAGCAGTATTATCGCTAAACTATTAATCCAGAGACTCAGCTAAAGTCTGGGGACCTGGATTTGAATCCTGCCATTGCAGATTGTGGAATTTGAATTCAATAAAACATTGGAATTAAAAGTCTAATGATGTTTGCGAATCCATTGCTGATTGTTGGAAAAACCAATCTGTTTCACTAATGCCCTTTAGGAAAGGGAATTGCCATTCTTACGTGGTCTGGCCTACATGTGGCTGCAGACCCACAGCAATGTGGTTGACTCTGAACTGCCCTCTGGGCAATTAGGGATTGGTAATAATTGCCTGCCTAGCTTGTGATGCGCACATCAAACATAAATCAATAAAACAAAAAGGCAGGGATTAATCAAGAACAGTCAGGATGGTTTTGTTAAGGGAGATGATATCTGACCAAAGTTGATGAATTTTTTGAAAAGGTAACCAGCTATGTAGATGAGGGCAAGGCTTTTGATGTAGTCTACATGGGCTTCAGCAAGGCTTTTGATAAGGTCCTGAATGGGAACCCGATAGCAAAGCTAAGAGCTCCTGGGAATGATCCAAGGAAATTTGGCAAATTGGATCCACAATTGGCTGAGTGGCAGGAAGCAGAGGGTGATGATTGAGCAGTGCTTTTCCGACTGGAAGTCTATATCCAGTGGGGTCCCACAGGGTTCAATGTTGGGGCCCTTGCTCTTTGTGGTTTATATAAACGATTTGGACTTGAATGTAGGAGGGTTGATCAGTAAGTTTGCAGACATTACAAAAACTGGTAAATAGTGAAGAGGATAGCCGTAGACCACTAAAGGATACAGATGCGCTGATCAGTGGCAAATGGAATTCAATTCAAATAAATGTGAGGTGATGCCCTTGGGCAGGACAAACAAAGCAAGATAGGAACCTGGGAAGCACCAAAGATCAGGTGGACTTTGGTGTGAACGTACCCTAGTCCCTTAAGCTATCAGGTGGATAAGGTGGTGAAGAAGTCTTATAGTATACTGGGCTTTACTATTTGAGGCATAGAGTTTAAGAGCAGAGAGGTGATGTCAGTCCTATATAAAACATTGGTTAGGCCACAGCTAGAGTTGGCTCGCCAAGCTGGTTCATTGTTCCATAGACGTTTCATTACCCTGCTGGGTAACATCATCAGTGCAGCCTCCGATGAAACGATGTTTTGTTTTCCCGCCTGTTATTTAAACTCTGGTGTCTGTTGAGCTGGATTATCTCACTTCTGGTTTTCCTTTGCAATGGAGTGTATATGGGGTTTAGCTCTATGTGTTTATTGATGGCTTTCTTAGTGGAGTACCAGGCTTCTAGGAATTCCTGCACTTGTCTCTGCTTTGCCTGTCCCAGGATCCTGGTGTTGTCCCATTCAAATTGGTGGTTCTCCTTATCCATGTCGATGGAGATGAGTGAGTATTGGTCGTGTCTTTTTGTTGATGATGTTCATGTACCCTTGTGGCTAATTTCCTTCCTGTTTGTCCAATGTAGTGTTTGTCACAGTCTTTGCAGGGAATCTTGTATATGACATTGGTCCTGTCCATAGTGGGTAGTGGGTCTTTGGTCCGGGTTAGCAGTTGGCATAGGGTTGATGTGGGTTTGTGTGCTACTGTGATGCCCAGTGGATAGTTAGAGGGGAAGTAAGAAAAATTATTTTCACCCAGAGGATGGTGGGAATCTAGAACTCATTAGCTAGTGGTAGAGGCAAAAATCCTCATAAGAAATATTTAGATGTTCACTTGTGATATCAAGGTATAGTAGGCAATGGGCCAAGTGCTGGGAAATGGGATTAGAATAGTTAGGTAGTTGTTTCTGACCAGTGCAAACATGATGGGTTGAAAGCCTTTTTGTATGCTGTAGAAGTCTATGACTCTAATAAGTAAGATACAACCTTTTTCTCATTGTATAAACTTGCATAGTACCTGAAATGTCCTGACTGTGCGTTAGTGAATTCCTGTTGCCAAGAAACAGTAGTTTCATTTTCTCTACTCTACCATTTTGTAATGCATTGAACTGCTCGCCTCAAAGGTTTAAAGACCTCATTAAAATTCATAGAAATAAAATAAATCTCCAGACACCTTGTGTGCCACTCAATGAACAAATCTAAAATTAAACTAACAACCATGTCTTCCTGGTGTTAACACACAAAGTAAAGATAATTTATACACTGTTCTTCCACTTTAGAACCCGAGCTCTCAGACAGTAATAATATATTTTGAAACTTCATCACACTCTTCCTAACCTCTTCATCTAACTCTGTTGGCTTCAGTTCCTTCCTGACACAGTTACTTATCCAGCTTCACCTTAAAGTAGAATAAATTAGAATTGTTCTTCTTGAACAGAAAATGTTAAGAGGCAAGTTAATTTCTTCAAGATGCCGAGAGGTTTAGGAGAGAACAACCTGTTTCTCTGGTAAATCAATCAGCAGAGTTCAAAGACTCAAAATCATTGGCAGAAGATCTTGAGCATAGGTGAAGCTTTCTCAGAGGCTAGTTAGAATCTGGGACATACTGCCTGAGACTGGGATGAAATCTGATTCCATAAATAAATACAAGAAGTTGGGCAATTACATTAGGATGAGAAACTTGTTCAGGGAAGGAAAAGATGCTGAGATATGAGACAAAGCATCTTTCACAGAAGTACCAGAGACACAATGAGCCGAATGACCTACTTCTATGCTGTAGGTTTCTGAGGTCCTTCTGCTACATTTAAACCTCTCAGCTGCTCCTTATGGTAGTGTATCATCTCTTAACTTCCTCAATGGATTTACTGATGACTATCTTATAGTTATGACCATAATTTTGTTTTCTCCCCCACTAGAGGCAAAACTTTCTTACCTTTTCCCCAACTAGAATAAGGAGTTGGGGGCAGAAGCTCAACTCCCACCAACTGGTGGGGCTACATTTTGGCACAGATTAGAGGTTTTCAGGGCACATTGGATTTAAGGAAATGTTTCATTTGCAAGTTGTGCAATGGGCTATGTTGGGCAAGGTGGAATTTGGCAGTTATTGAAAGAGCAGGTTCAGTTGGTAGCACCTCCACCCTCAGTATGGTTAACACTACTGAGCAAGGCTGAGGTTTCAGAGTTCACAGAATGTGTTCTTCAGAAGGAGCAGCAATGAAGTGGCTCTTTGAATCCTCACTGGCCTGCTTTTCATGTTAATGATCTCAATCTCTTTGAAGCAAATTTTTTATCAGATCAGCCTGGACCACAACCTCGGTTACACTTGAATACTGTGACTGCGGCTCCCCGACCTCTTTTATTCTTCAAGACTTTCCCCCAGGAGACAATTATGCATTACTCTGAAGAATGAAGATATTTTCAAAAGGCCATTTTCATTTCCTTGAATCAAGCACCTTCAGAAACAAGACATATTTGTATCTCCATCAGAGAGGGAGAGACTCCAGCCCATTGTTGGAATCATATGAGGGAAGGTTTCCGTAGATACAACTTTCCAAATCTGCCTTCCCTCTGCTCAGCTGCAGCTCCAAAATGCACACAGCTTGAATCCATGTTTGAATTCCCATTGGTGAGGTCAGTGAGCAAATATAAAACAATCAGCACAAGAACAGGTCATTCAGCCAATCAAGTTTGCACCAGCCCTTTCAAAGAGAAGTGTGGTTAGTGCAGCTCTCCATTCCTTTTCTCCCCTCATTTGTTCATTTTTTTTTAACCCCTAAAAAGATTAATCCAATTTCCTTTCGGAGGTTACAACTGAATCTGTATCCCACCACCTTTTCAGGCAGCACTTTCCAAATCCTAAACATTCCTTGTATAAAGAGATTTTCCCTCATGTTGTGTTCATCTCTTTTGCCAAGATCCTTAACTGCGTAGCTACCAGTCAATCACCCTTCAGTCTTTGAAAATAGAGCCTTTCATTTTCTTAACCCTTTTATAATTTTTAAACAGTTTTATTAAATCTCTGCACCCTTCGATCCTTCTACAGTCAGCCACATGCATTCCACCTGCCCATCTTAAACAGACTCTATAAGATCTCCATAATTAAAGCAAGTGGGTTAGAGTGAGCTTTTCATCTCCTTTGGTTTCAGAAGTATGTATTCCTCCTTGGAGGCAGAGTCTGAGAGTGATACTGACAAATACAGGTTTAACAAGCTATACCTAAAAAATACAACATCTGAAAAGAGAATTACAAATGAAGTTTGCAAAAAATTAGCCATCCTTTTGCCACACAGAGCAAGTGGTCAACCAAGAGAGAAATAACATGCATCTTGTATCAGTGATATTTTAATCGGTGGATAATTTTGATACTGTTGTGTCAGAATTTATGGAGACAATTGTACCTAACTCAGTGAGTGGGAATCCCATGGGATAGAGTGGAATGCTAGTTTTGCTTTCCACCTTATATTAATCCCTA